CCCTGAAAGGAACATGAAGGCCCTTGTCACATATTCATCTCTGTCTTTTGAAGTCACCTTGGCCCATTTGGCTGGGGACAGGCACATAGAATTTCTCACACAGAGCCTGGGCTTGGCCAGGGTGGTTTTCAGCCTCCTCCATCCCTTCCAAGTGTGTGTTTTGCTTTTGTTTGTTTTTCTTTTGAACAGAATTTTTCTGTGTAGCCCTGGCTCACCTAAAACTTGCTATGTAGACCAGGCTGGCCTGGAACTCACAGTGGTTCACTTGCTTCTGCTTCCAGAGTGTTGGAATTAAAGGTGTGTATACCATGCCTGTCCCAAGTAAGTGTCTTTATTTCTCTCCTTCTACCACGTGAGTTCTGGGAATTGAACTCAGGTCTTTAGGCTTGGTAGCAAGTGCCTTCACCTACCGAGTCGTCTTGCTAGCCCCTTTTCAGCTGTCTTAGAGCAGTAAGCACAGTACACAAATTTCTCCAGCGGTCCTGCCTGCCTCTTTCTTGTCTTTCCAAGAGAGCAGAATGTTCATGAAAATTAAATGAGGCTCCCCCTTACCATTCCGCTAAGCCCCAGCCCCCTCTCTCCAGCATATGTTGTGAAAGGAAAAGACAGAAATAAATTGGAGTGTGCTGCCTGGATTGCAGCAGCTCTTTCTGGAGCTGATGGGACTTCGGGACAAGGCACTCAGGGAGTGGAGAAGCCTACCTTGGTAGAAGTGCACTAAACCAAACTTAGACCCCAACCTCTCCACATGGCTCTTTGTTTCATCTTTCTGTATGCCTCGGAGGCGTCTGAAGAAGGAAAGAGATCCCATTCAGAACAAGGAGGAAGAGGGACAGGCAGAAGAAAGAGGATAGTGTAGGCCAGGGTGATGTAGTAAGACCCATTGATATGGTAATAGCCAGCACTGCTTCTGGGGGTGGGGGGGCAGGTGTGAGCACAGATTAAAGCCAGTCTGCCCTGAGATGCCTCCAACACTAGTTAAACGCTCCCTGCAGAGGCAACTGCCTCCATCTTGGATGCATGAGTCTCAGTCCAGTCTCTGCCTTTTCTCACCGGAACAGATGTGAACACACAAACTTGGGGCATGCTTGTAGGTTCCTTGGCCCTGCCACACCTGATTCTACCCTGACTCCAGGATGGGGCTTCACTATAGTCTGGCTTCTGTCTCAGTTGCAATCTCTTCCCACAAGCTTCAGTCTTCTCTCAGGCTCCTTTGCTTCTCTCTCCATGTCTGCCCGTCTTGCCAGCATAGTGGGGACCATAAGGTGACACCCTTCCGTATTTTCTTTTTCCCTGGGAGATAGGGTGGAGTTGGAAAGGTGAGAAAGGAGTTTGCCTGAGAGAGGGAAGAGGGAATGCAGGGCGATGGAGGTTTTCCTGGGGCCTCCCTCCCACTCGGGCTCAGTCTCCTACCCAGATTCAGCTTCTGTCCAGAGTCCTCATGGCCTTACCACCCGGATTCATGAGTACCTCCACACACATCCTCTCTGCCCTTCTTACTTCTCATGCCAGCTTCCCATTCCCCAAGGGATCCACACCTCCTCAGGGACCCACTTGCTCCATCGGACCCTTGTCTGCTGTCCCCTGCTTCCCTTCTTGCTTCTGGCCACCAGCATTTCAAGTCACTCTGGTCTTCCTGCATCAATCCCTTTCTTGGCCTTTTAAAGCTTTCAGCCCTTGTCCTGGTCTTACCTTCCCTCAGAGCCAAGTCTTTTACCTGAGGGAATCTACAAGTGAAGTATCATCTACATGAATCCGCTTTGGATGAGCCAATGACTGACAGAATGAATGAGAGAGACTCTGACAATACTGTAGTTGGGGGAAGGCTTTGGAGTCAGTCAGATGTGGTCCAGTCAAGGCCTTGACACTGTCCACCTTCATGGCCTGGATGGCCACTCCCCAGGCATATCCTCAGGAGCCTCATCTATGCCCAGGACCAAGAGACGCCATGTTTTCCCTTCCTGAGGCTAGTGTTGACTCAGGCAGGACCTGTCGCACCTGGTGCCCTCACTCTATAGGAATTATAGCACTCTATGTGCTAAAGAATTGCTTGCTCTGTGAGCCAGGCACCTGGTCAGTGTGCTGCCACCATCAGCTCGGACACTGCTGCTCAGCTTCAGAGAGAGTCCCATCAGGAAGGGCTGCAGGCATCCTGGCTGCTTGTGTGTGATGGGAAGAGGATCTTGGGGAGGAATTAGCCACATAGGGTTGCCCTGTGGAAGATTGCCTTAACTAGTGTGGGAAGATCCACCCTGAAATTGGCAGGGTCCTTGGATTTGGGCCCAAGACTCTATGAGTATAGAAAGCATGGTACTGAACATTCATGCATCCATTCATGCAGTCCCATTTCTCTGTTTTTGACTGTGAATGCGATGTGATCAGTTGCCTCAAGCTACTGCCTCCCCACAATAAAGGACTACCCTGGACTATGAGCTAAGACAAAATGTTTCTACCCTACGTTTCTCTTTTCCAGGATATTTTATCACAGCAATAGAAACGAAATTGGGATGCCACTCAGGAGAGAGGCTTGATGTTCTCTACTTTAGTTCACTTCTTTAATGTCCCCAGGTCAGTGGGTCATGAGCACCTGCTGGGACCACAGCTCTGTCAGTCAAAATTAACCAACACCTCAAGGGGCCGAGAACATTATCCTGACTGCCCTGAGACCCTGGCTATTCCATATGCATTTCAGACTACAGTGCCTTATAAATGTGCACAGAGGAGACAGGAGGGCCTCTGAGAGCTGCACCTCTCCAGTCCATACCCCTGTCCTGCCATCACTGATGAGCTATGGAGACAGCTGTGTGGAGTACCTGCTGTCCACTGCCTACTGTCCCTGGGCCTGTGGGTTCCTCTATTGCTTTTCTCTCTGGGATTCCAGTCCTCATTGCTACCCTGCACTCCTCTCCAAGTGCCAGCCAGGCATGGGCACTGTTGGCTTGCCCAGAGCTGTGACCCTGGCAGGCAGGAGGAGGAGGGCGGGCAGAGCTGTCACCCTTCAGCAGGCTAATGTGGAGGTCTTAATGAATATGAATGGCTGCCTCCTCCTCCACAGAGCTGGTCCCATCAGATTCCTTCACACCTCGGCGAGCCCAGAAAGGTTACTCGGAATTAAATGTAAATCACATATTTACTGGTACGAATCAGCTCACAGTATCACTTTCTCACCGCAGAGAATTTAATCATGCCTCAGCCCTGAGGGCTTCTCCTTTCCAGTGGGGTTTCGGGAGGCACCTGAAAGAGAAGGCCATGACCTTCCGACGTGGGGGTGAGGCTCATTATTCCTGAGCCTGGTAAAGGACAGTGGGCTCTGTGAAGACTTGATGTTGGTATACATGGTGCTTTGGTACCCAAGTCACAACTAACAAGTATCGTGTGAGTCAGAGGCGGTAGCAATGGGGTAGGCAGTGGTTCGATTCACAGTTAACACTTGGTATGTGTTGAATAGTCTCAGGAATATCACCATTAAAAGGCTGCTGCCAGTGACCTCTCCTGGTGTCACACATGGTGCTGGAGCCTTGGGGAAAATGATAGAGACCCCTGAAAGTGCCCTGGCTTTGTTACCCTGTACTGAGAGGCGATTGAGCAGGAGGGCCTAGCCTCTGATGCCATGAAACCTGGTTCTGAACTCAGCTTGTCCCTTGCTCCTCTGTGTATGACCAGCAATTCTCCACAGGCACAGGCCCTTACCTATAATACATGGGTGCAGCATGGGGCTTGCTGGTTCTACAGACACCGTTGCGTGTAAAGTCATCCGCTGACACTGAAGTGTTCTATAAATGAGAAAGGAAGACCAGGAACCCTTGTGCCAGGAGACCAGCACAAGGGTTCCTGGGCAAGAAATAAAGGCAGCCAGTCTCCTGGGCCCCTGGGCCCCTTCAGAGGCAATGTCCTCCAGATTCTAAATATTTGAGGTTTACACTAACCATTGAGAAATAATGAGGGCTTTTGTGATGAGAGAGACTCGAAGGCATGTGCAAACTCTAAAGGAATGTGATAGCTAGGAGGCTCTGTATGGGTCACTACCTCAGCTGGTCAGGACGCAGGGGACACCTGCTTCCTCACAACATCACCAGACCATTCCCTCCCTTTCCAGGCTCCAGGATAATAGCTGTATGGTTTTTTTGTTTGTTTTGTTTTGTTTGTTTGTTTGTTTGTTTTTGGTTTTTCGAGACAGGGTTTCTCTGTATTGTCTTGGAGGGTATCCTGGAACTAGCTCTGTAGACCAGGCTGGTCTCGAACTCACAAAGATCCGCCTGCCTCTGCCTCCCGAGTGCTGGGATTAAAGGCGTGCGCCACCAACGCCCGGCAACAGCTGTATGTTTGATGAGACCTTTACAGCTTCCAGAACATCGTGCAAGACAGGAGCGTGTGACTTACTTAGGGAAGCAGCATGGTGGCATGGAGGGCTCCTGGCTGGTCTCTAGGTCTGCATGTGGAAGCCTGAAGGAGGAGATGGCATGCACAGTGGTCCCCAGTCCGACCTCCTCCTCTAGTACATTCTGTACTCAGAGTGTCCTCCCCGGAGCCTGGACTTTCTCTACTGGAGAGTTTCTTAACTGCAGAACCATTTTCCGGAAAACTGAGCCCACATTGTCTGCACAGGAAGCTAGCTAGGTGGTATGTGTGTGTGTGTGTGTGTGTGTGTGTGTGTGTGTGTGTGTGTGTTTAATCAAAAACCCAGCTGTAATTTTTCATGTATCAGGAAGTTGCTTTCTACAGTTTTTAAGGAACACAGCTCCCTTGGGTGTAAATCAAAGGCTTTCTTTTTATAGATGGCCTTGGTGCCAGAAAAGCTCCAGCTTTGTTTACCAACTTCAGTTAGAGAGACGTCTATCAGAATTAGAAGCCATCTGTAAGTAACCCTACACTGTGGGTAGGAAGTTGAGGTTCTAGAGCAAAGATGTCCATCCCAGATATTACTTTAGCTATTTGTTATACAGCTGTATTAGTTGGGGATCTCTAGGGGAACAGAACTGATGGAATGAATATATGTGAGATTTATTAGAATTACTTCCAGGCTGAGGCCAGAGTAGTCCAATAATGGTTGTTTCATGTTGGGAAGGCCAAGAATCCAATGTTCAGTCCATGAGGCTGGATGTCTCAGTAGTTCCAAAGTGGCACTGAAGTCCTGGAGGATCCCTGGAGAGTTTTGGTCTTCAGTCTACGTTGGAGTCCTGAAAAAGTTGGTTTTAACATCAGTGAAGGAATACAGCAGCAACAGGATAGATGGTCTTGCCCGTGAGATGGAGGACAAGCAGATCACACAGTTTCTTTTTTCCACATCCTTTTATGTGGCCCAGTTTTAGATCTTCCTGCTTTAAATAATCTAACTAAGAAAATCCTGCACAGGAGCACTTGGCCACTTGGATTTTAGTTGATCCAAATGCAGTCAAGCTGAAAGCCAAGACATCATGATAACCGGTTGTCCTAAAACTTAGTGATGTAAATGAAACTGGATTGCTACAGTCGCAGATCCTCAGCATCATGGATTCTAATAGAGCCAATGGCAACATCTGTCTCTACCACACTCAGCCTTTAAGATTCATACTTAGATTGAACTGTTGGAAGCTGAAGTCACCCAGAGTATCTTCACCTGTTTGGTGCTTGGGTTGGGATATTTCAGAGTCTATTATGTACAGCTGACCTGTTGATCAGAGCATCCTGCACACATGTCCATACATGTGAGATTTTTTTGCAGTATAGGGGCTGGGATCTTAACAAAGGAGGATGAGAGAGAGAACTCCACAAAGCCAGTGTTTTAAGAGTTGAAGGAAGGGCTCCAAGGTCCTCCTGACCTCACCTTGGAAGACAATGCAGGATTGTTTCTTTTGGTTATAAACTAGTGACTGAAGCCAGTACCCATTCAAGCGGGACAAGTTAGACTCTATCTCTTGGTGGGAAGGGGCAAGGTCACATTGCAGAAAAGCCTATGGGTTGGGTTTTCCTGTCACCACAATCTTGGAAATCACATCCTATTACAAGAACAGTTGTTTTAATTAAGCTACTGAGAAATCAATCATCTAATCAAGGATGTTTATGTCCTTTTATGGCACAAGGCCTTGAGCTAAGAGACAGGATAGCTCCTATTCGAATTTCTCCAAGCTCAGAGCCAGTCTCCATGTCTGGTAAGATGAGATTAGGTTGAGGGTCTTTTTAAAAAGATGTATTTTTATTGTTTCTAATTATGTGTATATGTGGGGTGTTATATGTATTCTAGAGGAATGTTCATTGTCAGGAGACTCAAGGATGCCATGGAATCCAATGATAAATTCCTAAATCCATTTCAGGAATCGGGAGGCTCTACTGGAGGACCAAGTAATTCAAACTACTTCTCCCCAGATGACTTGTCTGTCTCTTGGGGTGTCTCTTTCTGCTATCCAGATTCATTTGCTCATTTAAAGGCTCCCTAATCCTGATGCCCAGCTCATGGCTTCCTCCTAACCCATCAACTTTCTGAGGCCCAATACTCAGTTCCTATGGGCTTGGCCTATCTTCTCCAGTCATTCCTCACAGATCTTGGGTTGCTGGTCATCCTATAACTAAGACACCTTGCACTAGGTGCCTATCTTTTGGCCCAATCACCTGGAGAGCCAGGAGCACAGGGAACTCCATTGGTTGAAATATAATCATAGGCTCTTGTTAGGATCTCCATGGGAGGCACTAATCCTCAACAAGGATTTGTCATGAGCATGTAACAATCAACCCCTTAGTACTCTATGCTTCAGACTGTGGGGAGGAGGGACTTGATGGAATACAGAAAAGTATTCCATCTACAATTTGATATACAGATAGGATTAGTAGTATGTTTGATCCATCCATTCATCCATCCATCCATCCATCCTTCTTCTCATCCATGCACCCATGCATCCATCCATTCACCCATCTATGCATCTATCCATCCATGCATTCATCCATCCAGCAGATGGCTTGGTAGGTAAAGTACTTGCTGCACTTTACGGCATCAAGCTTGGGTGTGAGGACCTGAGTTCAGATCCTCAGCACCCATCTAAAGCTGAGAAGTAGCATACTTATCTGTAATTCTAGCTCTCCTACAGTGATATGGGAGGTAGAGACAGGACAATGCTTGGAAACTCACAAGTCAGTTACACAAGGGTACAGAGTGGAAAATAGCAAAAGACCCTTCATTCAACATGATAGAAGACAAAGACTGATTCCCAAGGGTGCCTCCTGCCTCCATTTATGCACTGGGGCACATGGGTATTCCTCACTCTATTTTTTTTTTAAAGAAGTACTTCTTGGTCTGGGCTGTAATCTTACCATTCAGGAGGCATAAGTGTTGCTGGAATTCAAGGTCACACTGAACTAATTACTTTCCAGGCAGTTTGAGTAACATAGTAAGATACTATAACCCCCCAAAGAAAAAGAAAGATAAAAAGGAAAGGAATGTTTATTGAGCATCTATGAGGTAAACTCACTGTTCTAAACTAAGGAGGCAAGATAGCCCTGGTTTTCACTTCCCTCCTCGTTTCTGTAATTATACATCGAGATACAAGATCCACAACCTGCAAAAGCCCCAGTAGCTTTATCTCTGGTTGGTAACAGAGGCATAAACACACCCAAGCTTGATGCAGTAACCTATACGTAAATTAAGCCACATTGAAATAGCATCTCTCACCAAGCAGATTGTGAAAGATTTAAACACATACTGAGAGTGGTAGTGTGAAAAGAACTGAGCAGACTTGCAGATCACTGATGGAAGTGTGAAATGGTACAGATTCCAAATAGGAACATCCCTTAAAACGGCAAAAGTGCTCCTCCCGGGAAGCTGTGCCTCATGTACTCATTTCGGGTATTCTCTGTAACTTCAAAGATGAAACAACCTGAATACCCTCCCACAGGAGAAAGACCAGGGATGGGAGCTATGAAATCAAGGAGGGATCTCTCAGATGTTGCTATGGGAAGATGGACAAGTAGAATGCAGTGCCAAGTTAAAAACACAAGAGAACCGTAAATGCCAGTTTAAAAAGTGCTGGAGGGAGGCTGGAGATGTGGCTTACCTGTTAAAAGCACTTGCTGCTCTTGGAGAGGACACAAGTTCAGTTCCCAGCACCCACGTGGCAGCTTATAAACAGAGGATCAGGTGCTCCCTTCTGTGCCTAGACAAGGGCAGTACAAGGTCAAACCAATCAACATTCCAGCATGGATCAGGAAAGGAAGGAGTCCGCAGTCAGTGGCTGCCAGTGGAAAGAAAATCAGTTTTCTTTAAGGGTGTGGTGTGGGGGGGGGGGGAGAGAGGGAAAGAGAGAGAGGGAAAGAGAGAGATTAAGCAGAATCTGTTGTATGTAGGAAATTCTCAAAGAATTAAAAAATTAGAATAATTCTAATAAAAATATTAGAATATTTCCACGACCACAACATGAATAAGTCCCTAAATTGTAATACAAAGCTAGAGATGACAGGAGTCAAGAAGCAGAAGCAGGCCCATGAGGAGTGATGGAGACACCTCACTGCAGATCTCCTGCTTTGTCACCTGGATCTTAGATGTTTGCTGTTTGCCTGTCCCACATTCCACTGCAGGGTCAACTGTGTGCCGCTGATTTCAGGGATGTGTGTAGGACCTGAGGACATTTACTCTCTTATCTGCACTGCTGGCATAACCCACCTGGATTGGTACTTTTTCCCTGATGGTCAGACTTGCTTAGCAGGTGAGAGGAGGTATGCAAATAAGGTATGGATGAAAAAATGCCTGTGGAGCATCCTCCTGTACTTAGTCCTGGGGTCTAGGGATAAGTTCTCCCTCCCACCTAAGAAGCATTGTATGGTCTTTGTGTGTATGCATGTATGTATGGTGTGTGTGTGTGTGTGTGTGTGTGTGTGTATACATGCAGGCATGTGTCTTCAGGTGTGTGGACCTGTTGTTGCATGTGCCTGTGGAAACCAAGGATAAATTCCTCAAACAAACTTTTTAGATAAGGTCTCTCACCCAACCTGTAGCGCACTGATTTGGCCAGCAGGCCCCAGGGCTCCTCTTGTCTCTGCCCTCACCACACCCTACCCACACCTCCCACCCCCCACCCGCCCTGCCCCATGCTCCGATTAAAAGAGGGGCACACTGCTGTGCCTAGCTATTTCATGTGAGTACCGGGAGATTTGAACTCACTCTGCCCCTCATGCTTTCGAAGCAAGCGCCTTATCAACTGAACCAGGTCCCCAGCTCCCTGTATAGCCACCTGAGAGACATTGCCATCACACCATCTGTATGAACTTCCTGACACAGCTTTCTCTGTGTCTCCAGCCTCACTCTTATTTCCCTCACTGCTCCTTAGATCTGCCTTGCTTTCTAGGGCACTGGGGTAAGGTGGGACACACCTGGATCTCAGCAGTACTTCATGATCAGACCTCTGCGTCTGCATTCAGAGAGACAGTCACATAGCAAGGCCGGTGTGTAGCTTGCAGACGGCTCTGGTCCCAGCCCAGTCATAGGCCTGGAGATTCTGCCTAGAGCAAGGCAGAGCTGCGGAGGAAGGGCTATCGGGAACGAGGAAGACAGGCCTACCTGGGAAGTGTCTGGGGGCTTGCCAAGAGCAAAGTCTGGCTGGGAACAGAATGGGACAGTGAGTTTTGATGTGGCAGGCACTGGTGAAATCAAGGTCACCACAGAGCAACTGTCTCAGGCTGCTCTCAACAAAAGCATGGGGACATGATTGGCAAGGTGGCTCAGGGGAAAAAGCTGCTTGCCACCAAGCCTGATGACCTCATTTGATCCTCAGGACCACACGGTGGAAAGAGAAAACTGACAAGCTGTCTTCTGACCTCCACATATGTCCACATATGGGATACATGGCATTTGCATGTATCCCACCCCCACTTACACACAACACACGCTAAAGAACTTTGTAAGCACTAGCATATGTAAGGTAAAAGCACTAGGTGTCTCAGAAACTGTCAAAGTTATTCCTTAATTTTTTTTATTGTTTTGTTTCTGGTTTTGACACAGTGTCTCTTACAGCCCAGTCTGACCTTGAACTCTTTAAGTATTCAAGGTTGAACATTCTGATCTTCTTGCCTCTGTTTTCCAAGTCCTGGGGTCACAGGTGTACACTGCTAGGCCCAGTTTGTGGGGTACTGGGGTGGAACTCAGGACTTCCCTCTACCAACAAAACTGTAGCTTCAGCCACTTGCAGTACCAAAGGCCGATGCAGAGGGCACCGAGAGCCTCCCTGTGCCATTTGTTTCTTATTAAGAATTCTTGTGGTGCAATGCACATTAGTAAGAATCACATGGGGGGAAAAAAAAGCCTCTTCCCAGAGGCTCACAGGTACTGTATGTAATAAAGGCCCGTATTGACATGAAACCCAATGACTTGATGTCTCAGTTATTTCTCTGTTGTTGTGACAAAACACCACGACCAGGGCAACTTATCAAAGACAGCATTTAATTAGACTTACAGTTTCAGAGGGCTGGAGTCCATAATGGTGGGGCAAAGGTATGGCTGTACAGACAGCTGAGAATACATATCTTGATCTACAAGCAGAAGGCAGAGAGAGACTGGGAATGGCAAACCTTTGGAACCTCAGATCTCATCCCCAGTGACACACCTAATAAGAAAAAAAGGCCACAACTCCTCAAACAAGGCCACGCCTCCTAATCCTTTCCAAACAGTTCTACCAACTCGGGACCAAGCATTCAAACATATGAGGCTATAGGGTTTATTCTCATTCAAACCCTCACATTTGAACATGTGACCTTTTGATCCCCCCAAATAGCAATCATTTCACCTTGCCACACCCTGTACCCCACAGAGGGCCTTGTGGAGTAGTGTTTGGAATGACACCCAGCTAACTCAATCCCTTTCATTAGCTTGTAGAGGGGAACCACCCATAAACTGGAGAGGTGGCTCTGCTTGTCCAGAGACACAAGCAGGGACTCACAGACATCCCAATTTCCCAGCCAAGGCTTCTTCTTCAACCTGGGAGAGATCTGTACTACACGATTGTTGCCAAGGCTATTAATGAGAATGAGACCTAAATTAGTTTCTGAAAATGGGGTTTTTAACATTGGAAAGTTTTAAACTATGGAAATTGGAAATTTAATTGAGTTTATGTGATAGAAATTAGTGAGGAGGAAAAAAAAGCCCCACATATTCTTGTCCTAGAAATCTGTGGAGCCTCTTGGAGCCTCAGTTTCCCCTTTTTGTAAGATCCAGCTGGTCAATTGCTGAGGAGCCTTTCAAAGATGATTCTATACTTTCAGAGTGTGAAGTGCCAGGGAGGGCTGGAGGCTAGAGGTGGGAGACTCCCACTGTGGCAGAGAGCAGCTGGCCCAGCATACAGCCCTGGTAGACTCCTCGGTTGCCCTGCCTAGGGAGCCCTCTTCCCACAAGAAAAGCACACATACCACATTAGTTTGCAAGGCAGTGCTGATTAGTAATTAAACGGCTTCAAAAAAAAGAAGGCCATTAAAGCTAATGCCATCAAAATCAGAACCTCAGACGCTGCCTCATAATTACGAGTATACCTTGGGAATCGCAGGAGAGGACATTTACATTTTACCATGCACACTGCACAGCCAATAACACCCCCCACACCCATCATCGGGAGACCCACAGCTGAATTCATTTGTTTGCCAACTTACTCTGATCCTAGGAAAGGGGGTCATCCTTCAAGAAAGCAATGAGGAGCCCCAAAAACAGACTTCCCAGGGGAGGGTCTTTGCCCTGGCATTCCTCACTCTGTGGGAACATTATCTAATCGCCTCAGCAAAATCACTGTTCCTGTCTTTAAAATGGGGGCAGAGCCATCTTCTAGGATTGTGCTAAAGCTTCTGAGACTATGCTCGTCCCCCTCCCTCCCTCCCTGCCTCCCTCCCTCCCTCCCTCCCTCCCTGCCTCCCTGCCTGCCTCCCTGCCTCCCTCCCACCCTCCTTCCCTCTTTCCCTTCCTCCCTTCTTCCCCCCCTCCCTTCTTGAGATGGGGTCTCATGCATCCCAAGCTGGCCTGGAATTTACTTGTAGCCAAAGATGACCTTGATTTTCTGATGCTCCAGCTTCTACCTCCCTAGGACTAAGATCACAGGTGAGCCTCGACACGCCTGGTTTATGAAGCATTGGTGATCCTTCGGCATGCTAAACAAGCACTCTAGCACCTGAGCTATGTCTCTAGGCTGCCTTCCCTACTTTCTCCATCTCCACCACCTTTTTTATTTTGAGATAGAATCACCCTATGTAGCCCAGGCTAGCTTCAGTCTCTTCACCTCATGCCTCTACCTCCTGAGTGCTGGGACCACAGCAGTGTGCCACTACTCTCAGCTCAGTCAGTGCATAGTATTTTTCTAAATGTCACACACATACTTTGTGGGGCATTTGAGCAGGCGCCTTGGGCTGGCTGGTCTTGTCCTGGGCACCCACGGAGGCTGGGAAAGATTCACTGACTTTGGAAGATGTATCTGGGCCTAGTCAAGCCAGGACTCAGTAAGGGATAGCCATGACCACTCTGCCTCTGGCTTCTAGTGCCCCTCCAGGCCCCAACTCCAGTTCCACATGAACCTCTTCAGCTTCTAGAATTTTCAGAAAGAAAAAAAAAAAGCACCTGCCCTTGCACACAGCCTCACAGAGACTTGGAACTCTCATCATTTCCCTAGAGACATCTTTGTCCAAGGACTAAGAAACAAAAGTTAGGGAGCCTTTTTAAAATATAAAATATCAGGGCCAGACAGGCCATTTTCAGACAGTCCCTGAGGCCTAGTCAGCTATTAAAGATGGAAATTATATATTCATAACACAGGATATTGCTGCTTGCTTATTTATAACTTGCTCCATTTCAAGAATATTTATTCTAGACAAGGAGGCTTGATAATTTTCATCCAATCTACTCCTCGTAGCTTAGGGCAAAAGACTGGGAACAGCTCAATCGAAGGAGCGGCTGTTAAGGTTGGTAGGGAAAGAACAGCTTGTTCCCCTTCTCTGGGAAGGAAGGCCTGCTGTGTGCTGCTGCCGGCCTGCACCTCCATCAGCATCATCCCTGCCTGGCACACTCCTCTCCCACATAACCAGGAAGGACGACCAGCACGGACTCCAGCCCCTCTGTGATGCGCTCTTCATAGGACTGGGGACACACATACAAACAGGGCTGGAGGTAGACTCCAGCATGCTGTCTCAGGCCAGCACAGATTCGTGGGAGGAAAGGGAGCTATTGTATCCCTCCTCAGGGCCCATTGTCAGGCTCATGATGGACCACATGGTGTTATGAAGTACCATATACGCGCCCTGTGCTGGGGGTTTGTAGGAACCAAGGGAAAAGAGATGGGAACTTAAAGAAAGTATTCCCCCAGGAAGAGAGGCCAGAGAACTTAATGTCACAAGCCGGTTCTGTTGACCAGGACACACCATTCCGCCAGGCTCATCAGCGTTGTTCTCTCACACCAGAGGACAAGAAACAATGGGTTCAAGGCCACCAGCTGGTGAGGGCCAGCTCCAGAATTAGATGGAGGAGCCAGGCTCTTTATGATGGACTCCTAGTCAACCCCCAACAGCTGGGGGTTCTTCTTCCCATTCTCTTTGGCCGTTCAAGCTTCTAGCCTGTCACATCTTGAAGGGACCTGGTGCAGGGACCTAAGTAGGAGAACCAGATTCTTAGGAGCCACGCCAAGATGCTAATAAGAGCTACAGACCAAGATGGCTCCAAGTTCAAAATCAAGGGAACCTCTGATTTCCCACAACAGCAGCCCTGAGCAGACATGCATATGCTACACGTGTGTCACGCACATGCCACAGGCATGCAAGGACTGCCTTGCCTTTTCTGTGCATTCTGGATCACTGAGCACCACCCCTGACCCAGCCTGCTTACTCAATGATCATGAAGCCTTAAGGAGAATCACCGAGGCTGGGAAAGCGTGCGTTGTCTCATTTACTCTGCAAATATTTATGGAGCGCCTATTACATAGCCAGCGCCAGGTAGACAAGCAGGTTACAGCGCCGAAGGGTGAGCCAGACCAACTCAGCTGCTGCACTCCTGGAGGAGGGGAATGGCGGAGGACCTGGACTCAGGAGAAGTCAGAGCCATGAGAAGGGAGCTGCTCAGCTTGGCCAGGGCTAGGGAGTAGAGTCGAGCAGTAAGAGTGGCTCAGGAGGAGGAACTCGCCGGTCGAGGTCGACAGTGAAGGAGATGGCGGGCTGCAGGCAGGAGTGACTGGCCTGGCCTGACCTGGAAGTCTCCCACACAGCATGGGGAGCTGTAATCAAAAGGACAAGAAGCCTGGAATGAAGAAGGGACAGAATCGGGTCCTCCCTCCTTCTTCCTCCCTTCCTTTTTTCCTCCCTTCTTTGTCCTTCCTTCCTTTCCTCCCTCCCCCCTTCTTCCCTCCCCACTCCCTCGCTCCCTTTTCTTCAGCACCAGGGGCCTTACCTATCCTAGACAAGTATCCTACCACTGAGTTATACCCCAAGCCCTTCTTACTACTTTTATTTTGGGACAGTGTCAAAGTTGACTTGACTGGTCTTGAGCTTTCTCTGCAGCCCAGGCAGACCTTGAACTCAGGATCCTTCTGCCTCAAGTTCCTGAGGTAGCTGGGATTACAGGCCTGTTCCACCAGGTCTGACTTTGAGATTGGCTCTTAAAGTCAACCTGACAGTTGACAAGGATGTCACAGGGGAAGCTGGGGATTCCTCATATGGATGATGTGTCTGATTCTTGGGAAGCCCATCACTCTTAGGCAATGCTGCTACTGAAGCCTCCTGGGATTGGGTTTGTCCAAGGCCCAGCACCAAGTGCACCAGAGCCAAGACCTGAGCACTGGTTCTCTATGTGACTTCCAAGCCCAGCCGCAGCCCTCCAGACCCAGAGGCAGTAAGGATACACAACACTACAATCTCCAAGACGCTCAGAAGCAGGCGGCAGAAGACCCTGGAGCTGTCTTCTGTGAGAGCTTTTCTGTCAGGATGGCTACAAAGGGAGTTGCCTCTAAGGCAGAGGTGTTCAGCTGGCCTTGCACCACACCCAAGGACCTGGGGCACTAGCAAATGCGGGTGATTTGCTGCAGTCTCATTGGCTCTGGAGATCTGTACACTGTGAAACCTAAGTCCTCATAAGCAATATTGTGGTGTAGCCAAGCTGTTTGTGGTGGGGGGGGCATGGAGAATCCAAGGGCAATTCTGCCATGCTTGTCTCCCAGGGGATTAGCATGGAGGAGTTTGCGTATCTCTGGGCTCGCAGACCACTTTCTAGCTACTGCTCGCTCACAAGCTCACCAGCCCAGCAGCTCAGCAGGTCAGCAGCTCAGCAGATCACCAGCAGCAGAACACCTTCCAGCTGAGGATAACTAAACTGGAGAAGTCACTTGCTGCCTAATTTTTCTGCCTGGGGTCCAGGAGAAGGGACTGTCTCAAGGCCACACAGTCATAAGGGCCAGAGATGGCTGAGGACATGACAGAGGTGATGCTCCTAGATTTGCTTGTGAGTCTGGAACACTGTGTTGGCAGCAGAGACTGAGTTTGGGGGAGACTTAAGGGAGGGGGCCTGAGACGTTAGTGTGTGAACTTTCAGGGGAGAGGGGGAGGTTGAGGAGAAGGAAGGGGGGAGAGAGGGGGGGAGAAGAGGAGGACACCAGAAGTCACAAGTAGGCCCAGATACACGTGTATGTCCAGGGTTAGACAAACACTCTCATGCACACAGCTAGATAATATAGACACACATATACACTTACACAGAGACATAGATGTATACTTTGACATACACAAAGACAATTTAGCATGCACATGTATACATATACACACATACAGATGATACATATATATGCATGGTATCTTATCGACACACATACACATTGCCTAATACATACAACAGTGACCACACACACAAATGAACACACAGCTCTGTAGGCATCCGTGACCCTAACTTCCCTTTTACATAGCTTCGCATCTCAACCTGAGTGTAGCTTATTGATTCTTCAGTATTGAAAAATTTATTTCTGAATTTTAAACCACAATTCTTGCTCAGGATATCCTAATCCTTAATATCAGATGAATCACAGTGACATGAGACGGCAGGGTGATTTTCCTTTCTATTCATTATGATCAATACATCATTTGTAAAGCCTTTAATAGAGATAAATGAAAACCAGCCTGTACCTCATTATAAAGCGGCCATCCTTGCCCCTTGAAAACCAGCTTTGTCAGTCAGTCTATAGATTCTGCTGGAACAGGAAGTGGCTCCCTTCTAAATCAGTGCTACTGCTGCCTTGTGACTGAGGAGAGCAGTTCTCCCAAGAACCTGCTTAAATGTCCTAGGACTCTTGTTCTTACCCAGTAGAGCTCCTGTTCCAACCAGCATGGTGAATGTAGCCCCTCCCCACAGGGATACACCCAAATCCCCAGAGGCACACATCTCTGTGAATTTGCCCTAGCCACACCAGTGGACAGAGATGAGATGTGCATATGTGTGGGTCCACAGGGACATGTATACTAAGACATGTGCATACTTCTTCCAGTGCGTGCAGACCCTGCCTGTACATATACCCTTAGGCTCCTATAACCCACCTCTCTCTCTCTCTCTCTCTCTCTCTCTCTCTCTCTCTCTCTCTCTCTCTCTCTCTCTCCCCCTCTGTGTGTGTGTGTGTGTGTGTGTGTGTGTGTGTCTGTCTGTCTGTCTGTCTGTCTGTCTACATAAGATGCCAGAGATACAGACTCTAAATTCATTGAGGGATGGGGAGCAATTATTTGGGGCTGTGTATTTTAACTTTGGCTTGTAAGGTCTAAATAAACAATCTACTTTTGTTTTCTGTTTTCCCTCTGCCCCTGTGGCCTCATGCTTTATTTCCTGACAGCCCAGTAGGTAAGGTGTCTGGCACCTGGGATGACATCAGCATGTGACAGAGGGCAGGCACAGAGGCTCCCTTCATTTGTCATGAGAAAGGAGCCACCAGGGACCTAAAAGTCAAAGCAGGTGCTAGAGTTCGTAGATAGACCAGGATTAGAAGTTAAAGCCAAGGGCTGGAGAGCTGGCTTGGCTGAGCCTATACTGCTTTGGCAGAGGACCTGAGTTCAGTTTCCAGCACCCACATCTGACAGCTCACAACTGCCTGTAACTACAGTTCCAGGGACGGATCTGACACCTTCTTTTGGACTTCTAGAGAGCACCTGCATACAAATGTGCACAGACCCAAATACATACACATAATTAAAAACTAAAGAGCAGAGAGAGGGAGGGAGAGAGACAGAGAGACAGAGAGACAGACAGACAGACAGACAGAGAGAGAGAGAGAGAGAGAGAGAGAGAGAGAGAGAGAGAGAGAGAGATCATCAGAAGACTAATTTTGTCTTCTGGGAAGCCCAGTGTGAGCATCTTCAAGGCCAAGAGCTAGCCTGCAGCAGAGGACTCAGCAGTCTCCTGAGACCGACCGCCCCTGGAAAGCAAGCCTTGTGGAACAGAACCGTTAACAGGAAAGCAACCCATGGGAGATGCAAGACAAGGGCTTTGTAGTCCTCTGCCATGAGTCATATGGAGGAACTCAGCTTCTCTC